TTCTCATTCATATTCAGTAGTAATTGCAGATAAGCTGAGAGAGAGAATAGAAATTGTATCATGGTGTTGAAGTGAAATTCTCTGATTGGCTAAATTTGAAGCAAGAAAAAGACTAAACACAATGTAATATACAAAAATGAAGTCAACACGTGCAATTAACCATTGAACAGTGCTTTTGATTGGCTTTATGGACATTGTAGAGCTCAAGAAAACTACCTCAGACTGAGAGAGAGAGAGCACAGCACTTTATACAGAATCGTATATTTTCAACCCTCTCTGTGCACATGCTCTATCAATTAAAAATGTCAATTGTGATGGCATTGTCTAACCAAATTAAATTGAAAAATTGTCTTTGTAAAAATTTACTGTTATTTTTATGAGCATTTTGTAAATGTTGTAATGTAGAATATGAAACTAAAAACAATGAAAAGCAGTAATTTTATTACTATAGTTATTAGTATCATATGCTACTTGGTAATTATCCACAATTACAGGCCTTCCATTAAAATATGTTATCGATTAAACTTTACCACAAACTAGCCCATAGACTATATTGATTATACAATAACAATGTTAAGTAATACTGTAAAAACTACCATGTTCAACCCATTCTGTGAGTAGCATTTTGATAATAATGGTTTCAGTGTATGCAGTCTTTTCTTTATGCTCCAGGTATCCCTTAAAGTTGTTTTCATAAGTAATAGTGTTCATTCACTAGCTAAAATAATTTGGAGTGTTTGTGGCAAAGTTCCAAAAAGTGTAAATTTTAGTTTAAGTTTAACTAATAAACACTATTGTGTACTCATCTCCATTGATGTATTATAGATTATTGCACAAAACAAAATTGCTATTATGTCTTTACTGATTGCTTTCTAACTTCAAAAGAAATTAAAGTTTGCTGAGAATAATCAGTCTTTATGTGGGGATTTGTAAATAGAGGTCATCATAAGTGAAGAAACTGGTAAAAACTGTAGGAAAATAAAATAACACAACAATTTGCTGTTGTTGTATGACATGCGAGCACTTTGTTTGTGTTCTGTTTTTCTGTATCTTATGAGAAAAAATCTATTAACCCCTTTTCTTTATAGGATTTGATACTTATCATAATTAAATTTAGTTATTTTTCATTTTCCTTCAACAGAATACTAGTTTTTTTTTCAGTGTAAAAGGTTTTAATGCATTATTTATAATAGTGAACTAGCATATAGCTTGTCAAAAATGATGAGTCAAGTACTACCTTAACCTCACATTTTATAGCTAACTGAAATAAATATATTTTTCAAAATCAAATCTGACCAACAAGAGACAGAAAGATGCTGTGGAGGCAGTTAAACATTGGTAAATTCCTTCGTGAGCATCTATGAAATGAATTTGTGGCTTATTCATAGGTTAATTATTGGTAAAAATCAGTTAGATTAACTACTTCTAATATATAGAAAAGCCAGTGCC